GTTCATCTAGACCTCAGAGATCCTCAGAGTTCATCTAGACCTCAGAGGCCCTCAGGATTCTCCTGGACCTCAGAGGCCCTCAGAGTTCACCAGGACCTCAGAGTTGCTCCAGACCATAACGAGGCTCACCTCTCGGGTCCCCCGTAAAGAATTGACAGACTTCATGATGAGGACAGGCTGGATCCTCCTGGTTTTCCACTCCTGGTTCAAAATATCAGTTCGCTCCAAGATTTTCTGACGGTTGGTGTTGAACATGCTCTGGAACACAAACATTTACCGTGGAACCACAGGACTGAAAACATAAACCTGGACCTGCTGGTGTGAGTATTTGGACAGAACAAAGGGTTCTGCAAGAGGACCAACCTTGACCTCGTCGGCTCGTCTGAAGCGTTTCAGCTGCCGGAGCCTCATGTATTCAGACTTTACCCTCCTCTTCCAGCAGGCCGGACCTTTCTCCGAACGTTTCCCGGTCAGCACCATGATGGATCTGCAGATAGAAAAACATCTAAACATAAACTGAGCTTCAAACGTCGGATTACACAGAATCAACATAAATTCAGCGCTCGCTTCAGTTTTAAACGCTGCTTCAAATGACGCCGGCTGCTGAATCTACAGGAAGTTCTGCAGGAAGTGCTCACATCGTTCGTGGCTTCGTTTCAGCTCCAACATTTGTCCATTCGCCTCCCTGACGTACTGCACCAGCTGCTTCCATCAGCCGAGACTCAAACCTCACTTCAGATTGGACATGTCGGACGGCAAACATGGAGACACATTCAGCCAGACTGAATCTTCAAACTGCAGGGAGGTGAAGAGCGCTCAAGAAGACCATTTTTTAGGATCTGAGGGGTTCTGCTTCTCAGAACTGATCAGGTTTCTGCTCCTTTGAGGTGTACTTGAATCCACGCAGAAACAAAAACTAATCCCATTTCTTCTCAAACTCCTTCCAAAGCTTCCCGTTAAAATGACCACACAACTTAAAAAATATGAAAAAATTTGTCCAGATTATCTCAACGCCACAACCTACCAAAATGTTTTCCTTCACATTAAAACACAACATCTTAATCCACACCAAGGGAATGTACTTTCCAGCCATGTTTATTACAATTTTTTGCACCAAAAGAGAATGACGCAAGACGAAACTTTTTTTTCCCAAAAAGAAACTGTCCAGATGACAAAATTTAACTTTTTGTGATTTATTTACCTGGAGGACTGAGCGTACTTACTCTTTTTATTTTTAACCATTTTGGCCAGGTTGTCCTCAGGCTGGTAAGTAGTAAGCGACCATTTTGCCAATAACATTTGATTGTTATGCACCAATGAGCAATTGTTTTAATCTGATGGCCCTCCATTTTGCATGTGTAAAGCCAGTTTCTGGGAATTCCACAGCAGACTGGTTTGAAACACGTCAATAAGGTGCTATTTAATACGACATATCTTGTTGGCAGGACTCAGATTGATGAAGTCTTACAGATGAAAGACAAAACGTTTCTTCCAAAAAGAAACTGTCCAGGTGACATAATTTAACTTTTTGCATTTTTCTGTCTTTTAGCGATTTAATCTGAGTAAAAAGATGCATAAATATACTTAACAGGTGATAAAACAATTAAAAAAATACATGAAAAAGTGAAGCTCCCCCAGGATGGAACGTATGACTGTGTAAGTTATATTAGTGTTCAAAAATCCTCAGATTTAAACGTTTGTTGTCCCGAGTGTCTAAACAACTCAACAGACTGTTAGTTCATGTTTTCAAGCACTTAATGTCCAAAAATGACCTGATTAGATTAATTGGCACAGGTTTTATCCTACAGTAAAACGTTAGTTCAATGCCGTGTAGTGATAAACTCAATGTTTGGGGTGAATAAAGGTTAGTGAATAAAAGTTTGTGAAGAGTGACAATCGCTAAAATGTGCTGCAAGTACAGAAAAATTAAATAAAAACAAAAGGATTAAAAAAAAAAACATACATGATTGATGTTTGTTTCTATTGAACGATAAGGACTATTTCAATTTTTCTTCTTCTTTCGGCTGCTCCTTTCTTCAGGGATTGTCACAGCGAACTAACTCGCACAAAGACTTGGCAATTGTTTTTACGCTGGATGCCCTTCCTGACATGACCACAGACCACTGAGCTACCACAGCCCTCTGCGTGGAGCAGACAGCTGCCATCAAGGGCACCCGGGGGTGTAGATGGTGAGGGTTAAATGAGGGTGGAGGCAGGTGTGTGCGTTTCACCTTTCCCACCCACATATTGATGTTGTAAGTCCAGGGAGTTGAACCAGAGACTTTCCGTTCACCGGCCCACCCTCTTTAACCTCTACGATGCGTATTTTAAATGTTGTTTCTAGCTGTGTTGGTGTACACGGCCATCATTAAAATAACCAAATATAAAATAAACATTAAAATAAATAATTAAGAGGTACAATAGTGGTGAAAATAAAGCTTAAAATAATGATTAAGCTTAATGGTAATATTCATATTACGCACCAACAGTAACAACTAGAAAAACCCTGAAGACAAATTTTCACTTTGTTTAATGGAAACTCAGTACATGATTAATTATTACAGATTTATGAAGTTTAAAATTATGGAACTTTATGTTAATAATCTTGGTAGCATTTTTAGTTCATTTTAAGCACTTTCAATTGAAAACTTTGAACCTCTTTTTGAAAGTTTACTTACAGCACCTTGTTAAGAGTAAATAAAGTGAATATATTCGGATAAAAACCCATCAGGCCGCAGTATGTCAGACTAACAGGAAGCACAGCTAGCCGAGTTGACATGCCTGAAAATGTGTTTTTCCTCGGACACACACCAGTAAACTAAGGTTCAATTAGATGTTCTTATTAAACATTTGTTATAACACTTCACAAAGTGTTTTCGCCTCTCTCACTGTGCTCTAAAACTTGTTTTTTTTTTTACACAGGTGTCAGCGGTGACAGAAATTTGGCACGAGCTCGCCGAGCTAGCTAACAGTTGGTTTTTGTTAACAAAGCAACCCGAATAAACTCAGAGCTTCTTCTTTAAAAACCGGCCTGTAGGTAAAGACACTGGCTCTGACAGCTGCCCTCACCTCTACAGGAGGCTCAGCCCTCATCCAACGGGCCGATCCGGGACGGATGCGGCGGACACCGGCCGAACTCCTCCTTTGTGTTGAGATTAGCCGAAGCGCTAGCTCCACGGTTAGCTAGCAGCTAGCTCGGCAGTGAACAATTCTGCGCGCGACACCCGGCTTCGCGCACTAGCAGTTGGCTAACAACAACAGCTACCGTCTCCTCGTTTTATCTCTGACTTTTGTTCGAAACCCACAGCATGTCGCAGGCAATAACTCTTAGGAGTTTGGTTCAATTAGTTCTAGTTTATTTTTCAATATTTCCACCTCAAAACAGACGGGGTTCAAACTGCTCACCGTCTCGCAGTCACCGCCCACTTCCACTGCTGCAGATTCAAGAGGCGCCAAACATTTGGACCAATCAGTGAAGCGGATGGAATTTTTTTTGGGGTGTGTTGTTCTGTGATTGGTCAAATGTTTCAAAGAGCTAGCCAATAAGAGTTGGACATACAACGGAGGCCATGCAATAAACGCATGCGAGCAGGTTCCGTTCCCTTTGTTCGGAGTAAAAATAAAAACACAAAGTGGCTGTTTGAGTCAAATTTTATTTATTCTACAGTTCTCCAAGACATGTCAGTAAACACCTTTTCTTGGCAATAAATAAGCAACAACAAAAAAAACTCCTTAAATGTTGTTTTTAAAATGGTCGATTCTACGTGTTCTGACAGCGCAGGTGAGAGCACGAGCTAACACAACAGCTCCAACTAGGTAAGTTGATCAGGTTATGACAAACGTCCTGATATTAAAATCAGTCTGAAAACCGTCAGTTTATCGGATTTTTTTCGTCAACTCAGCTGCAGTCCACCTGACCGGATGAGGGTCGGCAGGTTTGTTAAGCCACGCCTTATCCTCACAGTCATTGGCTGGAGTCCTGATGTCGTAATATGATGCATTCAGGGTCAACTGGAAAATACGTAATATGGTTCAAAAATGCGCATTTGTATGACCGGTAGTTAAATTTACATAAAGAAATTGCCCAGAAACTTTTTTTTTTTAAAGTTATGAATTAAAAAAAAAAGAAGTAAATTTCTGGTAATACAGAAGCTAATAAAAAGCCACTTTTTGTCAATTCAGTTTTTTGCACATCTTTATCTCTTTGCTGTGGACCTGAGGATGGCTAAGACATAAAAAATCAGTCTCAAAACTTTATTACAGTTTTACAATAACATTTGTTCAGTTTCAGATGCCTTAGACCCATAATTTATTACATTTTAGTAAATTTCGGGGTGATCTTAAGGTCAAAGGAACAAACTAAATGAAACAGTCCCAACGGTACAAAGTCTGTTGAACCAGTAACACTGTTTCATGTGTCATAGCTTTCATAAAAGGTAGACATTTTTACATAAAATGGCAGCCCACAGCTACACACTTCCGTCCACACATCATGTATGTCAGATTAACTTGAGCTATTTTATGGTTTATTTCAAATGTGCTTTTTTGAGCTGGAACGATTCACAACAAACAAACTTCAAGGATAAAAAAAAAATCATTATTTTCTATTTCTTCTGATTTCATTTCTGCAGGAAAGTCTGTTTCTGCAGGGAATGGCTTCAAATGGAGACACAACTGTGAGAATGAAATCAAAAATTCAAAATCAGCTCGGTGGCTGTCACCAGCAGGAAAAAACTTAATGTGACGAGTGATCTTTGTTGATGAGTTAAAATCATAGAAACACTCGTGTTCTGAGAGTCTGGTCCGTTTGGTGTGATGTGGAGGAAATGTTTGGGAGCAAAGTTAAAGAAACCTTTATCCTGTTCACTCAAGGACGAGATCTGATCCAGGCAGACAAAACTTTATGAGCCAACCTAAACTGAAGGAAGTGCAGGTGTGCTCTGCTGGACAACAACTCAGGTTCTGGTCGGGTCACACAACTCATGTGAACACCGCAGAAACCTTCAGGTGTCATTGATGAAGTGCAGGAGCAAGAGGCCATTTTGTGAAGCAGCTTTAACAATAAAACAATTCACCTAAAAAAAACCTAAAGTTCATATTTCCTTTTATTAGCCATCAGCAGGGCAGTGATGTCTTTATTATTAATTTATTAATTAATTCATCTGTTCCTGTTTAATTTCTCCTCATCAACTTCATAAACCTTATCATTAAGATTTGCTTGTTGTTTGATTCACCAATAAAAAAAGGGCGTTTAAAAGAAATTGCTTGTTTGCTTGATTCTCTCACAAATAACTGAGCAAACACCAGCAAACTCAAACATGTTGCCAGAGGAGAATGATATGATTAAAAAAAAACTACGTGGGTTCATGAAGGATTAGATGAAAATATAATTTATTGGTTTAAAAAAAACAGCAGTTGGTGACATCCTTTGTTTGTTTCTGGGTTGTCATTTTACCATAGATGTGCATATTTTGTGTCTCAGCTGGAGCAGATTGTGGCTTTGCAGTAATGAAGGCGTTGCTCAGGTCTGCGGTGGTGAAGGCTGTACTGGTCCGTCTACGGTCCAACTCTCATGTGGTCGGGAGGAATGTGTTGGTTCGCATGTTAAATCCCAAAAATAAAGTTTGCTCCACTGAGTTTCCCACGCCTGAGTTTTACAAATCCTAATGAAGCAACAGCATGTTTCCAAAAAAAGTGAAATCTGTTTTAAGTTCTTGAAAAGTAACACAAAATCTGTAATAAATATAAGATGATCAATATGTGTTTGTAGGTAAACCACTTCAGTGCGCAGTATTTTAACCACCAGATGGTAATATTGTGTTAAGAATATCTTTATTTGATGTTTTAGTAAATGCTTTCAGTTACATGCTCACCCTCTAAAGACTAAAACTGAGTCCTGATCCTGCTGAACCACCTGGTTCCAGTCTGCGAGGGAGTGAGGAATGAGTTTCCAAGTGGGCCTGACTGTCAGGTTTTGTGTGTTTTTAGTTGTTCCTCAAATGTTTTTGCCTTTATTGTTTGTAGATTATTTTTTGTTAGTGTTTTCTGTGAGTTTACGTTTCTTCTCAGGTCCTTCAGTGACATTTTCCACTTCTTCCTCAGTCAGTTTCAGCTCCTCAGCTCTGGCCCCGCCCATTCTCACCTGTTCCTTGTTTTCATTTTGTCCACACTCTCCACTCCCCTCCTCAGCCCCCAACAGTCTTATCCACATGGTGTTGTGCACGCTCCACACCGCTTCAGTTCTGTTTTTGTGTTCTCTTGCTGCTGCCACGTCAGCATTTTGGTTTTAACTCGTGTCGTCTTTAGGGGAAAATCAACCACACATTTATTTTTCTCTGTGCTTTCACACACACACACACACACACACACATAAATTATATATATATATATATATATATATATATATATATATA